AGAACAATGCTTCATGGGTTTCCTGTGCCACAGCTCATGTTGGTGAGTGGTAAGAATCTCCTGCTGCCTTTTGGATAGCTTTTTGGAGATCTTCAGCTCGAAATTCTGATATTTCAGTTGATGTAAGTAAGGTACTCCTATAGCACGAGACTTACCAAGTTAGTAAACTGTACTCTTGAGTACTCTCTGTAGAGGTATTCCAGCCCTGGGTGTCTGAAGTAAGACTTTGAATTAGTTCCTTGGATGCGTATGTGTGATCTTGGTGAGCCTTCTGTCTCTTATTCTGCTTACTTAAATACTTGCTTATTTTTTTATTTATGTGAACACTACAGGAAAGTTTGGGCTAAGAAAGGCCAAGAAATGTTCCCCTGACAGTGAGGCTGTGAAGCTCTTTGAGCAGTTCCAGGCATAATGTCATTCTTCAGGGTCATCTGAAAACCATCATCAACGAGAGCAGCTATCCATGACGCTGGAATCAAGTGTGGGACAAGACTTTAATACCAAACTTGGGGTAAATGGTTACTCTGGCCCAGCTTTGGCAGTGGATGATGAGACAGACCCTTGAGTGCTCATTGACAGAGCAGTGAGTAGGTGTCCAAAGTGTCAAAGTCATCACCATTATTTTGTGTAGAGAAACAGTGGGGGAGAAATCTCTGCAAGATGCAGCTTCTGTCTTGGAGAGCAGGCTTACCTTTTGCATGAATAGGCACATCAGTCATCTCTCAGGGAGTTAACAAGTTTTGCTCCCATTATTATCTTCTACCAAGACTGGTGATGACAGGGGAGTTGTCAAGCTGTTGTGATAAAAGGGAGCAGACTGCCAGGATAGTTCATGTAGCTTTTAATCTTTGTGTATGCCTGAGGGGCCTTGGGAAAAGAGGATGGCAGGGAGCAGGCTGGATTAATTTTTCTGGATGAAATGGATATGTCCTGGGGGTTGGCCTACTTTAAAAATAATTAGAATTCTTTGAAATCTGTTGTCCTTGAGCACACTTCATCTGTCCTATGTCCCCTTTGCTCTGATTCTCATATGCCTAGATTTTGTGGTTGAGAGATGCCTTGTGCCTCTTTGGGAGGCATTTGTTTTGATAATATTTCCCAGGGGTGCATAATTTCCAAATCAAAGCTGACTCGCATGTATGTGTGTGGTGAGATGTACACGGGGACTGTAGGTAATCAGAGGTACCAGTTATGATTTTGCTCTTAAGCCAAGAACAGAGAGGCTGCTTGACTCACAGTGAGGTGATGCTCAGTTCTTAACATTTACATTTATTGGAAACTATGATGTAGTTTTCTTCTTTAAAATAAACTTTATAAAATAATCCTGCATGTTTGCATCAGGTGACAAAGGTATGGTTGGATCCTTACAAGGAGCCTTGATGGTGATCATTGATTGACTGCAGCCAGTACAAGTCCGTGTTAGTGTAGTGAGATGCATTGTTCTTGCTTATATCTTAGTTATTTCATGTTCTTATTCTATCTCATCCTCATCTGAAGGATGACTTTCTCATTTTACTATATTTCTTCCTGCTCCTCCTGGTTTTTTTTCATCATTCATTCTTTGTGGGAATTTGGGGAATTAATTAGGCTTATTCTCACGACCTGCTGTTCGACAGCTTGAGAATTTTCTTGCATTGCAGTAAGGTATTAAATGACATGGATATCTGGAAGTAAGGAAGAAAGATAAATGGTCAGACTTCTCCTCTTGACATTATAATAGTTTGGGCAATATATTTTCCTACTAGTTTGTCACATGCTAAGGGTTTTATGTGAAAAATAAGTTTTCATTTTAAACTCTACAATTCATGTCTATGATTAAAGAAGACTTCACAGCCTTAAACATTAAGCACCAAAATTTTTACTGATAGACTTGGCCAGTTAGCATTGCTGTAAAGGAGAGGCAGATTGAACAGGTTTTTGAACAGGTTTTATGTTGTATGATATTTGTAAGAATTTATTCAGTGCTGATAACTTTTCAAAATACTGTTTGCAATCTAATCCCAGCAATCATAATTTTCCAGGAATGGCTTCACAGCTGTTAATTTCTAGGAAACTACAGAACTTTTATCTATAATTTATCTAGCAACCATAATATACTACTTAATGTTTCCAAAGGCATAATGTTGCAAGCAGAATTCATTATGATTTTTAAATTTAAAAATATTTTTTATTAGCTTAAAAAATAATCTTGTCTCGAATGCCTTAACATAGAATGCTTTTGAATGTCAGAAATAATAGTTTGGTATTTTCTTTGTTTTATTCTCCAAGCTGAGATTTCTGTATTGCAGAGCATCATATTTTTAATATATTCCCTAAAATTCATGAGCATTTATTTTAAAGCCGAGTATTACTGATGAGGAAGTTAAGATTGCTGATATTCTGTAAGTCATTTTGGCTTTACATGTGGAAACATTTCAGCAGTATATATTTAATAGATCTATTCATAGCCTAACACCAAATCACAACAACTTTCCTGTAGGAAGTCCATTTTCTGCCCTACATGTATTTATTAATTCTGTCACTTCTTAATGTTCCTTAAATGCTTTTACACTGTACGGTCTATAGTATTCAAAGAAACTTTAAATTATGTGAAAAAGACCAATTTTGGCAACTCAAATGTTTTATAACTGATGCTGATTTTATCCCAGTGCATATTAACCTCCATGATGTTCCTTTACCTTAATATGTTTATTTTAAAGTTTGGGTTCCTTAACTTATTTTTTCTGCAGACTGAAGACATACCAGCAGTAGGCTGACACATTCCCTAATATCCTTTCTTATCTAGCTGTAGTGACATAAAAGATTGGATACAAGAGTGGGAAAGTACTCTGAAGGGAGTTCTGCCTGACATTTGGGTGCACTTTCTATGGAAAGGGTAATTTTGTACACCTAGAAATATGTGTGCAAATCATCATGCTGTGAAAAGTCACCAGTTCTGTATATATATATATTTTAATGAAAACTCTGTTGAGACTCGGAGCTTTCCTGAAAAGTGAAAAGTGACCTCTCCTAGTGGAGGGCAACTGCTGGTTATGCATGTCTTCCCTCTCCTCCACGAATTTAAGAACATGCAGCTCTCTCCTGAATTCTGTAGTAAGAGATAAAATAATCCTATGTGTGTGGACTTGTCTTGAATGGGAAGAAGAAAGGGAGATTCATGTTGCTAAGAATAGAAACATACTTTGTTGTGTAGAGCATAACAGTCTTCCTGTGTTACCATTAATACCAGAGGAATCCTTGGGAAAGCAGTAATGGGCTCCTGGGGAAGAGGAGCAGCACCCCTCACTCAGACCACTCAGTCTGTTTTACTGCTGTGGGCTTCTCCTACTTGGATTATTTACAGTTGGATTATTTCTGATACAGGATCTGGGTGTGGTGGCTCAATAAACCACACAACTGGGCAATTCTGCTGGTCTTTTTTCTGATACTCTTCTTTTCTGTACTCTTAGTACACCATGACTATCTGACCCTAAATGAATTAGGGGCATGAGTGTGCTGCCTTTCATGCCTTTGCTCTCAGCACAGCAAGTGGGTCTCCTCCAAAAGAGAAGAAATGTTTAAAGAGAATAACTTGGTGGGGAAGGTTTGTTGGTGTTTGTTTTGTTCACAAAAGAAACAAAATAGAATGGTTTGGATTGGAAGTGACTTTAAAAGTCATCTGGTACCAGCCTCCCTGCTATGGGAAGGGACTCCTTTCACAGGACCAGTTTGCTCAAAGCCCCATCTAACCTGGCCTTCAACTCTTTCAGGGATGGTGCATCCACAGTTTCTCTGGGCAACCTGTTCCAGTGCCTAATCACCTTTGCAGTAAAGACTCCCCATATCTAATCAAAACTGAACCTCCCTCAGTTTGAAGCCATTCCCTTGACCTTGTAAGAAGTCCTCTCCCTGTGTCTTTCAGATATTGGAAGGCTGCCCTAAACCCATCCCAAGGCTGAACAACCCCAAGTATCTCAGCTTGCCTTCACAGGAGAGATGCTCCATCCCCCTGGCCCTCCTCTGGACTCAGTGTAGAGTGGTAGCTGAGTTGTGTAGTCTTGTTTTAAAGGTGCAAAAGGAGCAGCTGCTGTCCTGCCATTCTGCACGTACCTTTCTCCCTGGTGTCCCTCGGGGGTGCTGAGTGGGCTCTGAGGAGGGCAGCCCTGGAGCCCTGTGTGCCTGTGCACAGGTAAGGTTGTGGATCGCTGCAGAGGCACCAGTGTCCTCTGTGTGTTGCTCCTGCCAGGCACTCTGGTTTTCAGCTACCCCTTGCTTCCAGCAGCTTCCCCCCTGCCTCACTCCTGTTTTGAACTAGCTCAGTGCTGCTGTTTACCCTGCTTATGGATGCCAAATTCATGTGGCGTGCTCATGCAGCTGTCTGTGGAGAGTCCTTGATCCAGCTCAGCGTGTGGGTGTAAAGGTGCTCGCGTTGGCACGCAGACAGGACATAAATGCACGGTGTGGAAGTAAACTGACTGCAAAAATGTAGCCATCCCACTCCAAAACATCAGCCTGATATACCCAGCATCTATCAGACAGAAGTTTAAATCCAAAACAGATTGGCAAAAACAAAAATTTAAAGGCAGTTCATTTGCAGCAGATAAAAAATACAGTTTTCATAAATCTTCTGCAAGAGGTAGGTGCATCTTGTAATTCATATTTCTGCTGTTCCACAGCTCTCATTGCAGCAGAAATGGAAAATATCCCCTTCAGGTTTTGCTGTATATCTGCAGTGATGGGAAGATAAATATCCCTGTAATGCATCAGTGTTGACATTCAGAAGCCTTCCAAACTTTGCTTTTTAAATCGAATAAGAAAGATAAGAAAGTTAGCTTTGAGCCTCTTCACTCTGTAGGAAGAATGGGCAAGTGGGTTTTTTTTGTTTTTTTTTTTTTTTCCTTTGCGACATCTTATATAAATCTGACATCCTTTACAAATCTGCAGCTACCGTACTGTCAGAAATTACAGAACTGGAAGTGCTATACTAAACAAAAGGAAAATATTCTATTTCCAGGTAAAACACTATGTCTGAAGCAACAGCTAATGCATGGACTTATGCTGTTCATGTTCTGTTGAAATTATTAAAAATTGAAAGGTGCCTAGTACCTATTTTTAGGCCATTGTTTTTTTAATTGAAGTGAATTGAAAAGCAAAAAGTTCCAGGTTTTCATGGAATTTTTGCATTGTTTGTTTGTTTTGCTTTATTTATATCAATTACTGGAAATGTTTATTGAGATAGTGAATCAGTCTGGTTTTTTCTGTCTTAACTTAAAATATTTGTCCAAGTCTATATCAGATCATAAAGTACTGTATCGAGAAAATGTTGATTTGGATAACTTGAGTATGACAGGCTTAAACAGAGCATATACCTCTTGTGTTCTGCAGTTGTCATTTGAGTGTAAGAACTTATCAAAAGAAAGCACATCATCCAAAAGGCAACTGATTACTGGCAGCAATAAAACTGGCATGGTTGATAACCATGGGAATGTAGGGTCTCCTACAGAGGAAGCTCTTTTATATTGCTTTTCCTTTACCATTTTTATATAAGAATTTTGCAGTTTATTGGACAAGTGCAAAACACAGTGGATTTGTGTGTGTGTGTATTTTGATTGCAGTATCATCTTCATGAATTTTGGTTTCTTTTGCTGATTCTGTTTTGATGTACAGTAAACAATTCTGTACTGTTGCTAGTTCATCCTTCTGTGGTATTTGATGCCTAATGTATGTAGCTTCTCTCTTATCTTGGAGATTGAAATACTGACAATTTTTTGGTTTTGCTATTCCTCTTCCTGAGAGGCACTTCTCACTCCCCAGTCAGACTAAAGTATGAACTGCCTTACTGACTCTTCATTTTTCAGCTGCAGGCCAGATTTTGCTATGTTACACACAACAGACTCTCTTTCCCAGGGACTGCAGAAGGCTTTTGAATTGAGTTTTGTGACAGGCTTTAACAAAATTGTCTTTGTTAGAAGTCAAAGTGCAAGGCTAGCATGTAAAGATCTTGATTCAGTGAACTGTGTTCCAATTTAAACACCCATTTAATGAACTGGATAGATCGCAAGTAGACTTTGTAGTGTCTCTTCTATGTAAGATGCAGTAAGTGAAGGGCACAGTTTTCATAAATGCAGTTATTAGCAGCTCTATTTGAAACCCACAAGTAATGCACATGCCTAGGGCTTTTGGAAGTCACTCCAGATGGAAACAGCATTTCTGGGGTGATTATACCCTGAGGGAAGGCTCGCTGTCATTTTGGGATCAATTTTTAGCCAATGTTCCATTCTCAGTATTTACATGGAGAGTCTGAATTGCCAGAACTTCAGGTTTCATAACAAAAATGTTAACAAGAAGTGAATATTTGTTGAAAAGATTGCATTGCTGCAGAGAAATGCCTGTTGCTATGCTGGTTGGATGATGAAAGTATCCTGCAGAGAGAGTCACTGTGCTAAGAAAACTGACTTCCATTTTTCCGAGCAAGAAGGAGCCTCATGCATCTTTGTGTCTGCTGTGCACCCATTAATTTGAACAGTGGAATGCTACAGTCCCATTGCTATGGAGTCAGTGCAGATGGGAGAGTGCTGTTCACTTGCATCTTCCCCAGATGTGTGGTCAGAAATGCCAGCCATAGTGTACCTGCGCTGGAAACACAGAGATCATGTTAAAAGTCTCTTCTGGATCTCCCTTATTTAAGGAGGTCCCTCAGAAGATGTTCAGGGCTAGAAGTTAATCCTTGGTGTCATGTTAAGAGAAGGCAGTGGGATATCAGTTCCCAATGTTGACTTGGAGAATAATGTTTTGATCATTAATCTCATACAGCTTCAAGTTTATATTGTGCACTGAAAGAATAAATGTCAGGGCAGTCCATTACTTGAAGTTCAGGTGCAGCATGGCCACCTTTCTGTGACAGGGTGCCCACTGTGGCTTCCATGCTCCAAATAAAAGATACTGCATGGCAAATGCAGAGAAATGTGCAAAGCTGGAAAGCACAGGCTGGTTTAGTGGAGCCTATCTAGGAAGTTTGTGGATTACATTATAGCATTCTTGTTGGCTATCTAAAACATGCAGATACTCCAGCTGTGCTAACACATTACCTGGCTTCTAAAGCAAAGCTATAAGATAGGTTTTTATATTCATCATGTTTACCTCACAGCAAAACAAACAATATCACTAGCTGTGTCACAGAAAGAGTAGTCTATTTTCCAAGATCGATTTGTCTGTTCAATAAATTGATTTTTTATTAGTTCAGTGTTGCTGCAGGGTTTGGTTTTTTTTGTTTCCTTTTTATGCTTCAAATGAATGTGCCATGTTGATTTTTTGGGCTTTTTAAAGTATTTGAAGCAGATAAGAACTTATCTTACCTCAGTAGTTCAGTGGACCATAACTACTTTATTGGCAAATACCACCCACATTCTTCTATGTAGGAAAAACCAGGAATGAAGGGCCAAGGAAAGATGAGATCAAATCACAGAGAGCACAACTGATCAGAAGTTATTTCCCTTCTCTTGTCTAGTCAAGCTGTACACAAGGTAATTACATAAATACTCTGAATTTTTTAAATCTTTTGGGAGTTCAGATGGAACTTGCAGAAGTGGGTTTTAGACTGTCTGTATAATTTGCATACAATGCAGTTTTTGGCTTCAGCTGCCTGCTTCATTAAAGAAGCTTGCAAAATAGTAGGGTTGATCAAATTCTAAAAAGCAATTGAAAAAAAAAAAGAAGTAGACTGTGGTAAAGTTGAGAATGGTTATAATATTTCAAGATAAAAGAAAATGTAATCATGCAGTTTGCTCCTTAATAGCAAGAAATATGAAATGAGATTGACATATCTGTCTTTAAAAATTGAGGCAGACAAGATATAGCACAGAAAACTGCATCCTTTGATCAAGCGTGTCCATTAGTGATGGATTTAATGTCATGTAAATGTCATTTACTTGCTGAGTTATATAAAAGAAATGCATGATTTTTAAATATCCATCTGTCCCAGATGATTGAGAAACAAGAATGAAATTCCTCTGCAGGCTTGAACCAGTACAGTGTTTGTCACTGATGCCTGGAGAGCCACAGAAGCTGGCCTCAGCCACTTAGAACATGACAATTGATGATAGTTCTTGTTTCTTTTGGATGCTTTTTCTGAAAAATAATAGAAGTTGGATTTTATCTATAGTAAAGTTGTGGATTATATATTGTAACTCTTTTAATTCAAAGTGAATGCTTGTGTTATGGTTTAAGCTCAGTCAGCAGCCAAGCCCCAGGCAGCTGCTCCCCTGCTCCCCCACCAGTGGGATCAGGGAGAGAATTCTATTGGTAAAAGTGAGAAAACTCATGGGCTGAGATGAAGACAGTTCAATACAGAAAGCAAAAGTCAAGCACATAAGCAAAGCAAAAAGGAATTCACTGCCTCCCATGGGCAGGCAGATGTTCAGCCATCTCCAGGAGAGCAGGACCCCATCACAGTAACTTAGGAAGACAAACACCATTGCTCCAAATGTTCCTCACCTTCCTTCTTCTTCCCCCAACTTTATATACTGAGCATGATGCCAGATGGTCTGGAATATCCCTGTAGTCACTTTGGGTCACCTGTCCTGGCTGTGTCTCCTCCCCAGCATGGCAGGATGAAAAGCAGAAAAGGCCTTGGCTCTGTGCAAGCCCTGCTCAGCAATAACAAAAACATCTCCACATTATCAGCCCTGTGTTCAGCCCAAACCCAAAACACAGCCCATGCCAGCCACTGGGAAGAAAATTTACTCTACCCCAGCCAAAACCAGCACAGCTTGTTTTTACCTGCTTATCTCTACAGCTTAACACTGAATTACTTAAATGTTGATAGTTTCAGTCCAAAAGAAACAGTTTTATCTATTTCTTTCTTCAATTTATAGAGAAAATTAATAAAATGGGCTTGGTCTTGGTAAAAAGTGGACTACTTCTTAGTCCACTGTGTAATAGTGCTACACAGGAAAAGAAAAATTATTTTTGCTTTTTGGAAGGAAATGAAGCTGGACAGATGACATCTTAGAAATTCTTAAAAATTCCTGATGTCCATATGAATAAACATAAGTTCTATTTTTAAGATCTCATTGAAACATATGCATAAAATGAATGATATTCCTAAAGTGAAACAGAACATGGAAGGAACAATGACTCAACTAGAAAGGTCACAAGCTTCATTTAATGTTGAAATGTAGTGATGAGAACAAATCTTGTATTGAAGCTCTTGAGTGATGCTGTGTTTAAGCCTTTTCATCTTGGAGGGCACAGCTTCCCAGGAAAAAAGGATGTAGGAGGTTTTTGGGATAGGAAGGAGATGTTGATTATTGCTGAACTATTAAGGGCTGTGGAATAAAGTTCTTAGCAATTGTAGCAAGGCACTGAGTGTAAGTGTAGAACTGGCTGAGCCCAGCTGATGGGCAGGGCAGACAAGGTAGTGCAGCTGAGGATCACAGAGCACAGGGGTGAAATGAGAAGTCACCAGAGAAAACATCCAAGTGACAGAGGTGTGCTGTTCTGGATTGTGGCAATATTGCTGCAAACTATTCTGTTCTCATGTTTGCTTTTTCTTTCTTCCAACTACAGGAATTGTTTGTCAAGCACTTGACAGTGTATACATGTGGCATCAGTAGAATAATATTGTAGAAAGAGTTAGACTACATGGATCAGCATATACTATGTGGCTAAAACATCAATACAACCCTATTTTCAGGTATTCAGCCTATTTTTCATCTTAATTTTTGTTAATCAATAATGTTACATATCTACATTACTAAAAAAACCCTCTTTTGCTAGCCTCTTATTGCAGTGCAAGGATGGTAAAAAAAATTCAATGCATTTTTGTAATAAAGAGGGTAAGAAATACTCCTGGAGTCAAGAAGTCTTGAAATCTGGAGGCCCTTTTACATCTTACAGTCAGCTTAGCATAGAGATGATACAATTGTCTGTTTTATTCTTCATACGCATAATTTTTCCAGTTAAGTGTTCATAAAATCCCTCTAAAAAAGAAAAGTTGTGTACAGTTGTTTTTCTCTTGCATCATAGGCCGAAAAGGTGTTGGTTATTCCAAGTATTGTGAAACAATTTGCTATAGCTTAAGTATGCTTCTGACTAAACATTGTTTTCAAAACCTGACTGTATTGCTCCAAGCCTCATAGCCCTGGGCAAATGTGGTACTCCTAATCACTTAGAGAAGGGGGACAGGATAAAAACATCCTGCATTTTGTGCCATCATTTCTGCAGTCCATTTTTCAGAAGAGATTTCCTGATATTTATCTTTTCTCTGGAAGAAAGAGTTGGAAAAATTTCCTGCCTTCACCTTCTGCCCTTCTCAAATCGGGTAAGTAATGGCATCATCTTCATCAGAACACTGTAAACAAAACTGGAAATTTGAGAGAAATGAAAAGGAGAACAGAAGGTGGCATTTGAACTAAGTACATAGCAGTAAATGTTTACAGAAATGAGCAATGATGATATTGATTAGAACCACCAGAATTCTGAGTATTTGGAGATTTCCCATAGCCTTCATCTGCTGAAGCATTGTTCTGGAGTTGGCTGTATTCCTAGCAGCCCATTTTATGCACTTTTTTTTTTTTGGTCAGAAATGCCTTCTTCTGTTGCTTTATTCCTCCTGTGATACCTACAGCTGCTGGCACATCAGGAGAAAGTCACCTTGCTGATCCTCTTGTGCAGCAAGGCATCCTCCAGGTTGAGGAGTTGAAAAAGAATTATTTTCATTACATTTTTTAAGTGAAAAAAAAGTTTAACTTTCTAGGCAATAAGTGTTGGCCTTTCTGTGCATAGATGCAACTTGACATCTCCTGAGACTTGAAGTGGAGAGTGGCATCAGGTAAAGAAGGAAAACTAAAGTTGATTGGGTCCTCAGTGTCTCTGCTGTCAAGACCAGACAAGGAACTAGACTTTATCTTGGAAAGATGGGTCAGAGTCTGATGAGCTTTGCTTACCTGGAACAGATTTTCTCCCTGGTGCTGCAGTAGAAGAACTGTACCCCAGGGCTTGGTGCTCTCCTTCTCTTTGGCCTCTTCATGGGGCTTGGCTGTTGTCATAACAGCATTCTGAACAACTAAAATACAATAAAATGTCAAATGGCTAGATTTAGCATGAAATTAGTCAACTGGCATACAAATTAGTTTGTTTCTTTTTTCATTTGTGTCATGTCTCATCTATGGTGTAGTAACCCATATGGTGAATTTGAGGGTAAAGATAACTAACAGGTGCTTTTCTGTTGGCTTGGAGCTCTGAGTCACTGCAGTCTCTGTTTAAGAATGAATTAATGTGGGTGATACTCTGCAGAAGTTTACCATGCTAAATACTTGCTAATGACAATGTAGGCTGCAGTATGTAGAAATGTATTTATCTGTTGGACAGAGAAAGCAGGAAGGTTATGGGTGTTTAAAAAGCTCTTGGTGGCACACTGTTCTACAGTCACTGCGTCACCTGATGGTTTATTGGATCAGTCTTAAGTGCTTAACCTAAACTGACTTACCTTGTGTGCTGTACAATATTTCTCTTTCCTCAATTTGTGTCAAGAAGAGATCCAGGATCAATGCAGGCAGGTCTCTTGTGGTCTCTGGTTTGTTGGGGACCAGACAAATTGCACTTAGGTGTAACAAAGAAAGCCATTTAATTAGCAAGGAGCACCTTGCTAAAAAAGAAGCAGTGTGTAGGGAGATACTTGCTTTTATGCTTCTTTATGCTTTGTCCTACTTGATCAAGGCCAGATTGGATGGGGCTTTGAGCAACCCAGTCTAGTAGAAGGTGCCTATGACAGGGGGGCTGGAACAGAGATCTTTAGTGTTCCTTCCAACCCAAGCCGTTCTGTATTTCTATGATTACTTCAGCTTTCTTTTACTGAAAATGTTGATTGGTCTAGTTGTAATAAACTTGTAATAAATTCTTGCTAATCTTAGTTTAAAGTTTTTCTGTCATCTTTAGTGTGTTGTCTGTAAGGAGAGGATTTAAGAGGATTTGGATCATACTTCTATCTTATCAAGGGTCCTCTGACAACTTTTCTGTTATTCTGCAACAAGCAGCTGAAATATGGTTTTGTGTTCTTTTTACTGCACAGGTTACTAGTGCCTACATGTTTTCATTTCTAGACCATGGATGAGACTGAAATACATCCCCTTAGGTAATGCAGCAGCTTCATTTACGATTCAGTTTAAGAATATTTCTTTTACTTGGAAGTGATTGTAATCTTGATGATAAGAGACTATTTTGCTTACTTCAAAACTAACCTTAAGTTACAAAATTAAGGACAGATTTCTTTGATATCAGTTTATTCAGGTATTTATATGAGCTTTTCTATTTTAGATCTCATTAATTACTATCCAGATACATGGTATTCTCTGTAGCCGCATGGAGAGGTACATTGAGAGGTACAAAGAGAGTAGGTTTAGATCAGTTATTAGGAAAAAAATCTTTCCTGTGAAGGTGGTGAAACACTGTTATAGACTGTCCAGTGAAATTGTGGACACCCCATCCCTGGAGGTATTCAAGGCCAGGTTGGATGTAGTTCCAAGCAACCTGGCCTAGTGGAAAGGGTTGGAACTAAGTGGTCTTCAAGGTCCTCTTTCAACCCAAACCATTCTATAAGTCTATGATTGCTTGTGGTTAGCTCTGCAAAGTTCTTGGGCATAGGAGGGGGCTTTGAGTGAAAAGGATCTGTCAGGGCTTCTTTAACTCACTGTGACTGTTGAGCTACAGATGGGACCAGAAATGGCAGGACAGGATGTGTAAAAGCTGAGTAAGAGTTGGATCTCAAGCAATGAGGAAGGAGATTGGTAGGTTTAAGAGCTGGTTCAGTATTCCCCAAGCACTGAGTGCTAGTGGAAATGAGGACATTAAGACTGCTGTTTTTTACAGTAATTTGTTCTGAGGCACTCAGTGTCTTTATTTTTACTTACTTTCAGTCAGGCAGAGTCTAATTGTGAAACTGCACAGGAATTCAAGGAGTACTGCACCTCTCCTAAGGAGGCATCATGTAAAATAGGTAAGGTCCAGGCCATGTTCTATGTGTCTTTTTTTGTACTCTGTACTCCCTGAAGGTGAGAGAGTGAAGTTTGCAAGTTTTGGGTGACCAATGGCATCGCTTGTGTGAGACTGAGTCTCACACAAGCACTCTGGCCATGTGTCTGGGTAGTCTCTGCTTTCAGTGGAGATATCTGAACTTCCCAAAGAAAAGGAACTTATTCAGTCTGGACCAGAAGCCTATGAGTGTGACAATTGCATTTGTAGAAAATCCAGGTTCCAGGAGAGACATTCAGCAGTAAGTTCTGGGAGAGCACTGTCATTGGAAGATGGAGTGAGGAGCAAGGACAGGGGGTAAAGCAGCGTAAGTTGAAAGAGCAATTGTGGCAGGATTGCATTACTTTGTATGAGTTTTAAATGATACAAACACATCAAGGCCACAGAGGATGATGGAAGTATCATTAGCTCTCCTTGCAAGTGAAAGATAATGTCACAACAGAACAATTTCATTTAAATGGGATGCTTAGATGGGTATTATACTGACATCCAAATTTGGGTATGTCTTTAAACAAGATATTCTGCAAGTAAACAGGTGAAACTCGGGGGATTGATTATGTTGCTTCTGTTAGGCAGATAACCAGGGAATCAGGTTATTTCAACTGAGAAGTATTCTTCCTTCTTCCATAGGATTTTTTATCTGTGGGCTTCCATAGCTTAATACCAGTTTCTGTGCCTTGTGAATGACTTGTGAATGACCTTGTGAAATGCTGGCTGCAGACCATGGCAGTATGCAGCAGTAGCCTGAAGTCACTGTCCTAGATGAATGCCTCTGCCATGGCAAAGTAGATGGTATCCAAGAGGACAGGAAGAGCTAGTGGGTCTTTTTGCCCAGGGAACTCTTGGAGCAATCATTCTACAAATTAAATAAAGTTGATGAACTAAGCCTTATCTTCCGCAGTGTCTTTCTTGAACTCACAGGTTGAAACACCAGCAGAGATGACCTTAGATATTAGTGAATATTGTTTGTTTTTAGACTCATTACTAGATAACAAGAGTTTGTTTTTATCCATTAATAGCAATCTGTGATACAGAGGCTCATGTAGATTAGTGCAAGTCACTCAGAACTTGAATGCTAAATTCTGCCAAACTCCTTCATTATAGCAGAACATTGAGCTGTTACCAAATTCACATCTCTACAAACAGTTCCTCTCCTTTACTATGTGCCCTTCTTATTTTTGAACATGCTATTTTTCCACAAGCAATGCTTTCCTATCTCAGAAATGTCAACTATAAAATAGAATAAGCTTGTTGATCTTACTGCCCACTAAATTGTTTCACCTTGCTAGCACAGGTAATTTGGGGTCTCAAAAGTACTGCTACTTTACTATTTTTTCAGTGGGCTGAGTCAATATTGATGACCTGTGGTCTGCTGATATCTACTGAAAACTCAGTAACTTCTGTACTGCAGAAGTATATGTTCCAGTGATTGATCTCTTCTGCCTTATCACATAGGACATAAGGAGTGAGTGGGAAAGGGATTTCTCTCAATTCTGGTGACTAGCAGTTCTGTTACAGGTATCTATTCCTGGCAAAACTGTTTCCTCTCAAAAAGCTAGTTGGGATCTAAAAGAAAAGTAACAAGTTGGATAAAGGATGGTGCAGAGCAATGAGTAGTGTACCACATGTCAATCAGCTTGATAGATGATGTGAAATCTAGGAAACAAGTGAAGGAGGAAGGTGCCCTGCTTTTTTTTTAATTAAGTTTCAAAAAAAGAAGAAATAAAAACCAACCCACAATGTTTTATTTGCCATTCATCAGATTTAGGTGGGAGTACAAAATACATTGGTATAAAAGTACTGCTGAACACTCATTTATCCAAAGCTGCCTGTGGCCCTTGCACCTCATTTGCACTTCAGTGTTATGTATTTTTTAGTGAGTAGGACATATATATATACACGTAAATATGTATATAGTGTAATGCTTTCTTGTTTATATCATCAAAATTCTTTTTAGTCGTTTGGACTTTGTGATTCATAAGTGGCTTCTGACCAAGTTCGTGCTGAAGATTCCAAAAATAACAGATGTGGTTGTTGTCTTGGATTTAGATTACTTGTTCTTTGGAGATGCCATCACAGCAATGTGTTTGTGGTACAAAACTGTATAGTCATGGTAGTTCTGTGTACCAACATTTATTCCAGGATGGTAGATATGAATTGGTCTTGTTTAAGTTTGTTCTGTTTCCCCTAGGATATTTAAGGTGGCAGAAATCTGTTATAGAGATGTGGCACTTACTGTATAATGGACTTTCGTATTGTCAGTTTATGTCCAAATTGAG